CTCAGCAGTTAGAGTGTTAGTCCACGGACCAGAGTCTCAGGTTCGATTCCGGTCAAGAGCATGTACCTGGGTTGCAGTTCGGTCCTGGGCCCTGGTCAGGGTTGTGCAGGAGGCAACCAGTTGATCTCTTCCTTTCTCTCTCTCTCTCCCTCTCTCTCTCTCTGTCTCTCTCTCTTCCCCCCTTCTCCTCTCTCTCTCCCTCCCACTCTATCTGAAGATAAATGGAAAAAGACAACTTCAAAACAAACAAACAAAAAGCATCAGCCAGGAAAACAGAGAAAAGGATAAAACAATCAGCCATAAAATATATCACTCAAAACCAGCAACTATCAACATGTTTATTCATTTTTTTCCAGGTTCCCCCCTAAACATTAGATGTTTTGTGTAATTGTAACCATGCAATATGTACTAATCAGACCTGCATCTTGTGCCCCTTAAATCATAACATGTGCCCCTTAAATCATCTCCCCATGTTCTTCCTAACTTTGTATAACTGCACAGAGCAGATGGCAGAAAGATTTTTAAATTAAACCAAGTCAAGAAATATCTTCCATTCTTTTTCTTCCACAGAAACTACTGTAGTAAAAACTAAGAATTTCATAGTGTTACTGGGCCACTGGAACTAAGATAAGATACATTAAAAATGCTTAGACACATAGGCAGTGTTTAAGAAATGTTAACTGAGTTTCAAGTGACAGAGAATATTTACTATAATCATCTCTAAAAAGATACAAAAGAAATTAAATTCAGATTCTGTTCTCAACACATTTTTAATATCACTCAGAGATAAAATGCATTTACACCCAACAATGGAATCCCAACATAATTCAGAATGCACTCATCCTGGCTCCTCAAGGGCTGGGCTCTTTTATTCATTTTGCACCCCTACCATGAAGAACAGTGCTGGCATATTCTAATCTAGATGCTCAATAAGTGTCTGTTGCACTAAACTAACTACAGACTAAGAGCTATGCTTATTTAGAGAGGGTAAGGATCACTGGGAGCTGAGGTTATTTTGGCAGTAGTTGCAGAAAGAAGGCTGAACCACAGAAGCCTTGGGATACTCTGAAAGGTGATATAAAAACAGCTTGCATACTCCTAATTTATTTAAAAAGTTTGATATTTCTGCCCTGACCAGTTTGGCTCAGCGGTTAGAGCATCGGCCCGTGGACCAGAGAGTCCCGGGTTCGGTTCCCTCTAAGGGCATGTACTTCGGTTGCAGTTTGTCCCCGGCCATGGTGGGGTCATGTGGGTGGCAACCACTTGGTCTGTCTCTCTCACATCGATGTTTCTCTCTCTCTTTTCCTCCCTTTCTCCCTCCCACTCTATCTGAAGATGAATGTGAAAAAAAATGTCCTCAGGTGAGGACAAAAAAAAAAGTTTGATATTTCTACACAACCAGCATTGAAACCCTGCTGTGCATATTAATTACTCATAGGAAATACGTAACACATAATAGATACTACTTAAAACCAGAAAACACACCAACACAAAATACTGCAGCATTCCTTGTCATCAGAAACAAGTACTAATTCTAGACAGCTTTGTGTGAAATGGCAAGCTGCAAAAGCAGTCAATTAAGGCTTTAGATATCAATACAGAGTTCCAGAGCCAATACCGTCCTTGCTAAACTAAGTGTAAAAGAATGTGCTCACCAAAACGTTCTTTCAGCTCTCTATACTCCAGTGAGGCTATCTGTATAGACTTCTGCATTCAGAAGGTAGATACAGAAGATCTGAAATCTTCATTCAGCCCTAACAGCACCATATTCATATCACCTGATTAAAAAAAGAGAATCCAGCCCAGCCGGTGTGGCTCAGTGGTTGAGTGTTGACCCATGCACCAAGAGGTTGTGGGTTCGATTCCTGGTCAGGGCACATACCCAGCTTATGGACACCATCCCAGTGGGGGACATGCAGGAATTGGCCAATCGTTCTCTCTCATTGATGTTTCTCTCTCCCTCTCCTTTCCGCTCTAAAAAATCAATAAAATAAAATTTTAAAAAAGAGAGAGGGAATCCAACTTCATAACTAGGGTATCATTCAGCAGACTCCATACGTCCTAACTTCATTCACACACATATTTTCCTTTCTTTTACCACACTTGTGCTTTGAAAAAATTCAAAGAATTTATAGAAAAGGAATTTGCTAATAGCACATCTCTAACAGCTGCTAGTTGGATGTACTAAATCCATAGCTTCTTCAGTTACACTGTCTGGCCATTTCAGAAAGTGTGCTTAATGCAAATCTAGTTTCCTTCAAAAGAATTTATTTAAGCCTACCTTATTGTCTTTACAGCAAACTGCAAAGTGTATATGCTGGATGTATGATGATTCTACCAGGATGTAACACTATAGTTTTTGATGATTAAGTATTTCTAATAGCTATTCATTCAGTCTCCCCAGCCTGAAGTACAGAAGAACAAGTGCCTATCAACAAGTCACCAAGGGAGTGAACAGCTGATTTCAGGCACCGCATGCTTCAGGGCAGGTGTTCCTTGTTTTTCTGAAAACAGGCACACCTTCCAATCATGATTATACCTGTCAGACAATTTAAAAGAATTAAAACAAAATAAGAGAATAGCTTATTTAAAAAAAAAATGTTTCAGGAGTCCAAACAAATGCAAATAGAAAACTGAAAACTCTATTTTCAAAAATGTCCTGAAAGTTTTGATTTTCAAATTTTGTTAGGGTTCAGCACTGTCTTATCCTAAGAATACAAAGTTACTGTTTTAATTCTAAATGAAGCACTTCTCTCTAGAACATCAAAAGATTCAGAAGCCCAACAGTACTAAGCATTTTAAAAAAGACATGTGGCAGAACATTTGTAAACTTGAATTGCACCTGTCACCAATTGAACAAAAGAATATTTTATATACAAACCACGTAGCTTTAAACATTTGATAATTTGGTTAAACTGATCCACTGTCAAACGGAATAATACAAGCAAACAAAAATTGGATTACAGGCTTCCCTCGCCACTTCGCACTTCGACTTTTCCGGCTTCGCGGCTTCACTCTATCGCGGTTTTTCAAATATATTCGTTAAAAAGTTGATTGAGACAGTGATAATGATACAGCGCACGCTCAGTTGTCTGAGTCAATTATACACACCTGTATTACAATTTTACAATTGTACAAACTGTATGTATGGACTGTAGGCCTATGTATTCAAGCACCCCAGGAATCCTTCAACGACAAGTGCAACTGCTAGAGTCTGGGACGGATTAACCATGATAAACGAGGGACGACTATATCACCAATGGTTGAAGATTTCCAAATTAAATCACCCTTAGCAAGTTACTAAATCTCTCTGTACTTCTGTTTCTTCATCCACAAAATGGGAAAGATAATAGTAACAACCTCTTAGCGTAGTTATCAATATTAAATAAATTAATACATGTCCCTGCTATCAAAAATAGTAATAATAACCACGTCCCTTCAAAGTTAATTGATACATCCTATCACCTCGATTCTTTGTCACTGGTTCTATTTCGCAAAATTCGATTCTTTCTCCTACACTCTCCAGGTAAATCTCAGCCCTCGATATCAAGAAAGCCACAAAACGAGCTCCTCCAGGAGAGCTAAATAAGAGGCTATGGGAATGTGAAGTCCTCAGCATCTTCCAGTTTTATTAACAAACCACTGAGTTGGAACTCACTCCTGAACGAAATTGCCAAATGTTCCTGCGATAAAAGCTGCAAACTTTCAAGTGAACAGACCTCTGCAACAATAGGGAGTTGTTCCACTCTGTGAATAGGACAGTGTCAGTGTGACCAACAAAGGCGGGAGCTGGACATTCCTGACACCCTTGTCCCCTGGCTAGCTTTGGACCACTTATAGCACTCAACCACATTTGTTTTTGGAAATTATTTTCAGGCAAAGCATATGGTCAATATTTATACCCTGAAACTTATCCATCACACAGCCCTGTGTTCACAGCTTCGGTCCCAGACCTTCATTTCTGCTGCCACCATTGTGAACATGAAAGAGCATCAAACACAGCAGTGCTTTGTTTACCCTGTCCTTCCACCCCCACTCCCAAACAGCCACTTCGGGTTTTAATTTGTATATTCTGGAAAACACCATGGGATGACAATGGCAAACAAGCCCAACAATAAAATAACCTAGAAACTGAATGGTCAGCAGGGAAGAAAAAGTGTGCTCAGCATGGGTTTGAGTCTTCGCCACTTACTTGGAATGCAGCTTTGAAAAGAGACTACACTTAGGTTTTCGTTTTCTTATCTGAAAATGGGTTAGTAAAACCTAGCTCACAAAGTTGTTGTAAAGACTAAATAAGATACTGATTTCAAAGTGCCCCGAATACAGTACGTGCTCACTCATCAGAAGCGATTTTATTCCTTCTGTCCAGCTGCCCCGAGACACATGAATCTAATAAGCATTTCAGACAGTGGAACAGACAAATCAAAACTCCCAAGTGTCCCGCTGTGTCCTGACTAAAATAGCCCAGATGCTATTTCAGGGCAAGGGTCTGCGGGGTCTCCTAGGTCGGGCTGGAAACAAAAAAAAAAGTCCTGGAGCGAGCTCTGTGCGGTTTTATGCACAGGAAAGGAAAGTTGGATTTGGCCCACTGAGTCCCTTGTTTACAGCAAGGGACAGCGATCCCCTGAGAGCCGTGAGCAAGGAGCTGCGTGGCCGCCCCGCAGCAGGCCGCTCACCGGCCGCCCCACGCCCGCCGCCGGCCGCACGGTCCCTGCGGGTTCCCGCGCCCACGCTGCCGCCGTCTTTCCCGACGGCGCTGCCCACTGCCCGGGGCGAGCCCACCCCCGCGGCCAGCTGCCGGCTTCCCGCCCGGACCTCGCCTCCAGGCCGGGACCCGAATCCTCTCCCGGACCGAGCGCTCCTCCGGCCGAGAGCGCGGAGGGGCCCCGGAGCCCGGGCCGGGACCGCTATCCCCGCCTAGCCCGCGCCCGGCCGCTTCGGCCCGCTTTGCTCCCATCGGCCCCGGCCCGGCTCTCCCAGCGGCGGGGACTCACGCTCACCCCTGAAAAGCAGCATCAAGCAGAAGTCGGGCAGCCAGGCGCAGAGCTGAAGTCGCCGCCGCTGCCTCAGCGCCATGTCGACAGAAGCTGAGGGGCCGGAGTGTGCGGCGCCGCCAGGCTTCCCCGCGCGCATGCGCCCAACTGGCCGGACCCCGCTACCCGTCCCCAGTTACCATAGCGACCACCTGGCCCGGCCGAGCCGTCACCATGGTGACAAAGGAAGCTGAAATCTGGTTACTATGGATGCAGGGATGCTCTGGACCTGGGCCCATAGGGTCTGTTTCAACGAACTGGGTGGGCGTAGGTAAAGAAGGGTGTTCAAGAGTGAGGTGGGGTAAATTCCATAGCTTTAAAATGCACACATCACTACAGATAGGAGAAGGAACGCCCGATTAAAAATTGGAAAATGAAGTGCTTCTTATATTACAAATAAGGATGCAGCCCAGCTATCTTGGAAGCATTGCCTGCACCTTTGTTGAGGCCCCAATTCCAAATCTGACAAAAGGAAAAAGCTCTGACATGTACATAACACATAACCAACACATACATTTTACAGTACATAAAAATGACGTCTTTCTAAAACAAGCATAATTTATTTCTGTGGTAGATCAAAGAATGATGATATACTTAATGTTTTCTTCTGCAGGAAATCAGGCTAATTATTTAGTCTGGTTTTTGAATATTGGGAAATGGTAAGGCTAGGAAGCAAAAATGGAGCAGAAGCTTATGAGGACAAGCAACAAGACGAAGACAAGGATAAAATGCACTGGAAACGGGACATACGGATGCGGATGGTTTTGAGTGTCATTTCATACAATGGAAATATTTGAAATAGCTTGTATTATATCTAATATAGAAAGCACACCTCTAATGTTCCAGGAAATATGAGTAAAATAAAATTTGGGGTATAGTGATTAGTAAAATATGTTAATTTCCAACAACTAATATATTTTAATGTATAACTTAAGGGCTTCAATTTTTCATACATCCATCCTAAATTTATTTTAGTGTTTTTAGTTTTTACAAAGTAGAACAGCGTGTGTGTATAATTTACATATACATTAATAATACATTATATTTTTAAATGTATCATATATGAATGTCAAGAAACAAAATAAATTGAGGTTATTACCAAGTTTATGTTTCAAATTTCATCATTATATGTTCTTCTTTATAAGTCTTTATAACTGCTCAAACCTTTGCAAGTATGAAGTAAATACATTCTCCAAAATCTCATGAAGAAAAGATAAAAATTAAAAAACAACTCAATCGCCTATTATTATTCTATTTGCCTTTTATTTTCTAAAGTTTCTTTCTGTTTTAGTTTATCATGTTCCAAAGTCACAAGCAAAAGTATGTGAAAATTATTTTATAGTGGGATCTCTCTCTCTCTTCTTCAAACATCTAATAGAGAAATTAAAAGAGAAAAATTCTTCTTAGGCCCACTGACTATTTTTCCTTCTGCTCTCTTTTGCCTCTGCTATTTTCTTTAGCTCTTGGTTATACAGCCAGGCATATCTGCCTCACAGAAGGACCCATATTGGTTACCTGGGAAATGTAAGATGGTGTCTGACTGCGGACAGAGTACAGTTTTCAGAAATCCGTGCCTCTTTTCTCCTGCTGGATTTCCTGTGCTTGCATTGTGAAATGGTTCTGTCTATAAATGGTCTTCTCTGCTAGGAAATATTTTGAAAGTCAGAACAAGATCACAGAGAGGCTCCATGAATATTCTATAAGGAGCAGAGGCTTTTATGAGAGAGGACACAGGTACTTCATTGTAAAACATTGATAATCCTCCACATATGGAATCTGCAAGCTATGACCTGCGGCTCAAAGATGTGATCTTGGAACGGAGCCCAACTAGTGATGCACCAGGACAGGGTAGGATGCATTTGGCTTTCAACTGATCTGCTCCTCCTTGCAAATTCATCATTCCCTGGAGAGCTCTGGCCCTGTTCAGAAGGGAACCAGAGCTCTGGAAGCATCCAGTGAGTGGGGCTGTGAGTCTGCTTGCATCATCCCATCATCCAACTGAATATACTTATTTCTAACATGGCTCACTAAGGAGACATACATTTCTTAAAAGAGCTCAATAAACTAAATGTTCTTGTGCTAAACTTGAACACAAGCACTTGCGATACTTTTCAATACCAACATAAAGTGCAAATCAAGTGGCAAAGACTGGGGTTTCCCTGTGGGACTCACCTCTCAACAGACGGGAGAAGCCCTGGAAGCTGCAGTCACGAGAAGGGAAACATGGGTTCTGGAGTCTAATGGACCATGATTCAAATTCTTAGTTTTTATAAAATTGGGGAAGTTACTTACCTTCTCTGAGCCTTGGATTCCTTGTCTGTAAAACAGGGATAACAATAACCACCTCAAGTGGTCATTGTGAGAATCATGTGAGATAAAGGTCTGGAACATGCTAGGTGCTCAATATATGTTTATTGCCTGTGCCCCTTCTCTTCCCACTATTTTAGTTCATATTGGGCAAAATTGTTACAATATTCCTGGAGAGCTTTGAAAGAAAAGGACCTTCAGCCTGCAAATGTGTCAGAGGGAATGAGAAGCAAAGAGGAAGTTATACATTAATGTGTGTTTATTCTCTTGGTGTGGCTATATTCTTTTTTTCCCCTTAATATTAATATATTAATATTTTTAAATCACAAATGTCCCTTTTTCCCTCCTTGACACCCTCCTACCTACTCTCACCTCCCCACCCCACCCCTGCCCTCACCATACTGTTGCCTGTGTCTATTGGTTATGCATATATGCAAATAAGTTCTTTGGTTATCTCTTCTTTCTCCCCCACACCCCATCCCTCTGAGATTTGTCAGTCTGTTCCCTACTTCCATGTCTCTGGATATATTTTGTTCATTATAGTCTACAAATAAGTGAAATCATGATATTTGTCTTTCTATGATTGGTTTACTTCACTCAGCATAATACTCTCCAGGTCCCTCATGTCTTCTCAAATGGTTAAATATCTTTCTTTCTTACAGCTGCATAGTATTCCATTGTGTAAATATACCACAGCTTTTTATCCACTCATCTGCTGTTTCCAGATCTTAGCAATTGTAAATAGCACTGCTATGAGCATAGGGCTCCATATATTCTTTCTGATTGGTGTTTCGGGCTTCATAGGATATATTCCTAGAAGTTGGATCACTGAGTCAAATGACAGCTCAATTTTTAATTTTTTGAGGAAACACCATATCGTTTTCCATAGTGGCTGCACCAGTCTGCATTCCCACCAGCAGTGCACTAGAGTTCCCTTTTCTCCACACCCTCGCCAGCACTTGTTGTTTCATGATTTGTTGATGGCAGCCATTCTGGCTGGTGTGAGTTGATACCTCATAGTCATTTTCATTTGCATCTCTCTGATGATTAGTGATGTTGAGCATTTCTTCATGTCTCTTGGCCACTTGTATGTCCTTTTCAGAGAAGTGTCTATTCAGTCCTCTGTCCATTTTTTAATTTAATTGCTTGTCTTCCTTTTGTTAAGTTGTATGAGTACTGTATATATTTTGGAAATTAACCCCTTATCCAATGTATCATTGGCAAATATGTTCTCTGAGAGAGTGGGTTCTTTTTCATTTGGATGCTGGTTTCTTTTGCCTTGCAGAAGCTTTTTAGTTTTGTGTAGTCCCATATATTAATTTTTTCCTTTGCTTCTCTTGCCCTAGGTGATGAACCAGTAAAAATTCTACTACATGTGATGTCTGAGATTTTGGTGCCTACATTTTCTTCTAGGATTTTTATGGTTTCACAAGTGACATTTAAGCCTTTTATCCATTTTGAGTTTATTCATGAGTGTGGTATAGATTCGTGATCTACTATCATTTTTTTGCATGTAGTTGTCCAATCTTCCCAACACCATTTATTGAAGAGACTGTCATTACTCCATTGTATGCTCTTACCTCTTTTGTCAAAAATAATTAAGCATAATATCTTGGGTTGATTTCTGGGTTCTCTATTCTATTCCATCGATCTATATGCCTGTTTTTGTGCCAGTACCAGGCTATTTTAATTACAATGGCTTTGTAGTATAACCTGAAATCCAGAATTGTGATCCCTCCCGCATTGTTCTTCTTTTTCGAGATTGCTGTGGCTATTTGGGGTCTATTTTGATTCCATATAAACTTTTGGAGTATTTGTTCTAGATCCGTGAAGTATGCCATTGGTATTTTAATAGGGATTGCATTGAATCTATAGCTTGCTTTGGATAGTATGGACATTTTAATGACTTGACTTTTCTAATCCATGAACATGGTATATGTTTCCTCTTTTTTTTTTTTTTTTTTATATCTTCCTCTATTCTTTTTTTCAATGTCCTATAGTTTTCTGAGAACAGGTCTTTTACCTCCTTGGTTAAGTTTATTTCTAGGTGTCTAAATTTTTTTGTTGCAATGGTAAATGGGATTGTTTTTTTAGTTTCTTTTCTGTGTGTTCATTATTGGTGTATAAATATAGTAACAATTTCTGGATACTGATTTTGTATCCTGCTACTTTGCCAAATTCATTTATTAAATCTGCTAGTGTTTTGGTGGAGTCCTTAGGGTTTTCTATGTACAATATCATGTCATCTGTGAATAATGACAGTTTCACTTCTTCCTTTCCAATTTGGATGCCTTTTATTTATTTTTTTATTCTTGTCTGATGGCTGTGGCTAAGACTTCTAGTACTATGTTGAATAAAAGTGGTGAAAGCAGATGTCCTTGTCTTGTTCCTGTTCCTAAGGGAAATGCTTTTAGTTTTTGCCCATTGAGTATGATGTTGGCTATAGGTTTGTCATATATTGCCTTTATTATGTTGAAATATAATCCTTCTATTCCCACTTTGATGAGAATTTTTATCAAAAATGGATCCTGGATTTTGTCAAATACTTTTTCAGCATCTATTGATATGATCATATGATTTTTATCTCTCATTTTGTTTATGTGGTGTATCACATTTATTGATTTGCAAATATAGTACCAACCTTGCCTCCCTGGGATAAATCCCACTTGGTCATGGTGTATAATTTTTTAAATATATTTCTAGATCTCATTTGCTAAAATTTTGTTGAGCATTTTTGTGTCTATGTTTATCAGGGATATTGGCCTGTCATTTT